GTTACGTTATATGGGTTGGGGCTATACGGTACAGGGGTAATTTGGGAATTACATATTGTACTGTAGGGCTTACTCTAGGATTATAAATAGACCTGTTTGTAATCCTAGGTTTTTGAGAGAGTTGGATCCCTCTATTCTGTAAACCCTTTTCTGATTATTGAAAGGAACTCACCGCTCTGCTCCTGAGGACATAGGCATCTTTGCCGAACCTCGTTAAATCTCTGTGTTCTTCTGGATTTGTGTCGATTACTGTTTATCTTCGCCCTTATTTTCTCAACAGACTATGGGACAGTTTATAAAATACAGATTGGTATGGGAAATCACTGTTGGGCTATTAAAAAGGTTGACTTGTCTGAGACAAGCTGCTCTAATGAGACGAAGATTTTGAACTTTGTGAGGCATAGAAACCTTGTGAGAATGGCTGGATATTGTATAAGAGATGGATTTGGGATGATTGTTTATGAGTACATGCTTGATGGATCTCTCTTTGATGTGTTGCACCAGAAGAAGCCACAGGTTCCACTAGACTGGGAGATTCGTCATCGTATAGCTCTAGGAATAGCTCAAGGTCTGTCCTATCTTCACCATGATTGTGTTCCTCAGGTCATCCATAGAGATCTTAAATCAAGCAATGCTCCGAATTGGAGCCAAAGATAGGAGACTTTGGAATATCAAAATTAATGGATAGTACTAGTTGTAGTTCGACGAGGGGGAGGTCCGATTTAAGCTCAGCAAAATCTTCAATTGTGGGCACTATTGGCTATATTGCTTCCGATTTAAGCTCAGCAAAATCTTCAATTGTGGGTACTCTTGGCTATATTGTGGGCACTATTGGCTATATTGCTCTAGGTGATTGGCGTTTTCTTCTTCCAACATACTATGCCCTTTGAACAATTGTTAATGAATACCACCCAACTCCTATGTATTTACATATGTATCACCTAAACTTTACTTTTTATATTTATATCACCCAAATATTTCATTATCACTTAAAAAAATGCCTTCCTTTTAATTTTTAGAAAGTGAAATACACCGCCCTTTCATACATAAGAAAGTTGGTATATATGTAAAAATTGAGGTTTAGGTGTTAGACATGTAAATACGTTGGAATTTAGTGGTATGTATGTAAATCTTCCAAATAATATATTTATACAGATTCTTTACATGGGTTACCTTTTAACCTTCTTTTTTTTTTTTTTTTTTTGGCTCAGAAAAAGGATACTTAACAAGATTGAATGAGAAGAGTGATGTTGTCAACTATGGAGTTGTTCTTTTAGAGCTTCTCTGCAGAAAAATGTCAGTGGATCCAAGCTTTGAAGATGGTCTTGATATTGTTGCCTGGATGAATGCAAGCCTGCAGAATGCCAAAAATTTGGACATTTTGTGTTTCCTTGACGAGGAGATTTGGTATTGGATGGGCAATGAGAAGGCTTGTGCTCTGAAACTGTTGGAATTGGCTATGTTGTGGACTCAAGCTTCAAGTGAATCTCGTCCGTCCATGAGAGAAGTTGTGGGAATCTTGATGAAGTCAAAATTCTAGCTTGCATGTAGAGTTCAGTTCGCCTTAACCCTTTCATCCAATTAATTAGGTAACTATTTTTTCTAGCTAAGTTTGGTTCAATTCTACGCTGGCATTTTACATTTCAGTCTCCGGAGAGATCAAGCTAGTGTTCTATAGTGTGTACTTAGACGAGGCCTCTTGGTTTTTTCCCTTTTTAGGTTTATTCTTATCGACTATTTTTAAGAATTCATAGTCTGTGTATACATATCTTAATGGAATGCTAAAATGATAAACTCCTAATTTGCCATAGTAAACGTTGAATCCTAACTTGTCCATGAACACCCCAAGTAATAAAGCGTAAGAAAGAAGAAAAAGAGATGATAGTGAATAGTAATGAACAATAATGCAACTTGTCTATCTCCCTAATTTTCTCATAAAATGATATCTCTATTTATAGGAGATGATACAATATAGTGAACTACATTTCTGTCGTGCTTTAATCGGGTTTGTATAATATATTCTAGGTATTTTACATATATGAGTATTGCTTGGCTGCTCTCTGACTCAGTTGGTTGAGAAAGTAAAACTTTGGCTCGAAAAGATCGGTCCTGTTAGCTAGGCTTAGTCGGCGTTGCTGGTCAGTTGAGTTTGTTTTTCTCCGAGTTGGCGGGACTGATCCGATTGGTGAGGCTTTGTCGATTTGTTGATTTAGTATGGTTGTTTATCCTCGATCCCTGGAAGAGGAGCTCATGTCACGGAGCGAGAATAAGCTATTGGGCAGATGGTGAATCATCATAACCAGATAGACAATTTGTTCCTCAATTAAGAGATCATGTGGGATGACTTTAAGACAGTTGTATTGTCAATTTTTTATCTTTAATGAGAAGCCTCTGGTGGTGATATGAAGGAATTAGATATTTTCTTGGGCCGGATCTATCAGATCGGATCTATCGGAAAATAGGTTGTTGCCTTCGGTCAACTTTCTTATAGTGGTTGACTTGAGTATTTTTTTATCTCATTTTTGACCAAACAACTTGGATTGGTCGCCTTCTTGACTCGGTTGGCGTTGACCGTGCTTGTTATTGCTTGGACTACTGTGTCCAATCAGATAAGTGGGTCTCTCAATCTTCTGTCGGAAGGTCTTCTTTTATTATTCTCTCTTAATTCTGGATAATTGATTTTTTGTGACATTAGCGCTGGCATAATCTTTTGCATGTACAATAAAATGTTCAACATGTAATAAGTGCAAAATCATGATAAAAATGTTTAAGGGTTTCCTCCACAAATTTATAAATCCCATGATTAGTCTGCAGACCTTATTTGTCTTTGTACTTGTTTTCACTATGTACTAAATACTGAACATCAGAAGTTTTGATATTTTTATATGGAGTTGGTCTATGAGAATTTTGTGTTGACTTTCTTCTCATGAACATTTGGTGCATACATGTATCAATAGAAGCATTCACTATTAGAACATTACAAATATCACTGTTGGCTTCATGAATCAATTCCTTTTAATTCTAATAATGAAAGTAATTTTTCAAATAAAAATGATTATTTGTCAGTTGATATTATAATCTTAAAGATCAATCATCATGGGCAAGTTAGGATAGGTTACAGACAGATAAATTTGTCTAACGTACAACAAATTTCTGTAAGCGGTGGTGGCAGCAGAGTAAAGGTTATAGGGGATGAGAAAGTCTGCAACAATCACCACTTCAGAGCGAGATATAGTCGGAGCACTCGTCCTAGGATACAACACTTAGAAGGGAAAAGAAGGATGTCGACAACTGTCCAGACAAAAATCACTGCGAAAACAACCCTAAATAGCACGTAACATCTATTTATGATGTTGTAAACTTTATGTTGATGATATCTTGGGAGAATACAGATCTATTTATGATGTTGTAAACTTTATGTTGATGATTGTATCTTGGGAGAATACATGGAGGGAATTTGGGACTGAATTTATTATCTATTTGATGTTGTTGTAAAGGGAAGCAAGCAAGAACAAATGTTCTAAGATGTTGGTATTTAGGGTTTTTTTTTTTTTTTTTAAAATAAGAGCTGAAAAGGAGATTTGTTGCAGGCGTTGGGGGAGGAAACGGGTTTACGAGATACATAGTTGTTTGAACAACATCCATTGAAAATGATTTGATAAGTTTGTTTTGTCGAGTAGTACAAGCAGTTTCTATTATATGATGATTTCTTATCTCAACCTTTTCATTCTGTTCTAATGTGTAAGGAGCTTTCTTCTTCATCTCATTCATTCTTGAGGTACACAATAATAAATTAAAAAAATTACATGCATTAAAAAAAGAGATTTGTTGTAGGAGTTGGCGAAGAAAGTAGGTTGATGAGATACATGATTGTTTGAACAACATCCATTGAAAATTATGTGATAAGTTAGTTGTGTTAAATAAAGTACGAGTAGTTCTATTAGATTGACGATTTCTCATCTCAACCTGTTCATTTTGTTCTAAGATGTAAGGAGCTTTCTTCTTCAGTTCATTTACTCGTGAGATACACAATAATAATAATTATAATAATAAAAAAATTATAGACAGCTGATCATTTAAATACTGAATATAGATTATTTATTATTTAAAAAATATATCAAAATTCACATCCAATGATAAAATTATGTTCATAACTAATAAATTTACCTTATTCATTTAATAAAAACAAAACATCTCACTTTTAAGTTGATTCACTTCATCCAACGTCTCGCTCTTGTGTGTTCCTATCTTATAATTAGGGCTGTGAATTTAGCTTGAAAGATTATTAACTGCTAGAAAATTGATTAGAGTTTTGGTTTGGATCGAAATAAACAAGCCAAATTTTGATGTTGAATTTCTTTCGAGCTAATTTTGAGTCGAACGAACTTTCACACTTTAACACTTCTCATAATAAATGAGAAGCATGTTTTATTTGTTTCATGATGTGGTACTAATCCAAGCACTATGGAGAAACTAATTACTTATCAAGAGCTTCAGTTTTAAAAATTTACTCATATCCTGAGCCTTCAATCATTTAAATACTTATTTTAAAGATCTTCGAAATAATAGATTACAATGACGCTACAATTAATTCAGATATATTTAAACACCTGCAAACAAAAGTCTCCTATAATGTGGGACAAAATAAATTTGAAATTTTGATTTGATTTTTTTTTTTCTATTTTTTTTTTGGGCATTTACATAGATACCATCCAATTCTTATGTATCTACCTATCTAACATATAAAGTTTCATTTCTACCACCCAAAATTTTTCTATCACATAAAAATAAAAAAAAAAATCATTATCTTCACTTATAAAAGGTTAAATATACCTTCTTATACATATGGAGGTTGGCATGCAAGTAAAAATTAAAGGTGTTTGATATGTAGAGACATGGGAGTTGATTTGTTTGTAAATTCTCTTTCTTTTTTTTTTTCTTTTTTTTTTTTCGTTTTGTTATTTAATTTTCTAATATATATATATATATCTTTGTGCACATGTGTGCCACGAGTTGCAGCTTGTTGGTAGAATTTGAAAGTCGTATGTCCCCTCAGATCACATGTTTGAGTTCCCCTCCGTGTAGTTTGTCGATAGTGAGGGCGGCCCTCGAATAGTTAGTTACATGAGGGTGGCTAGGGCCTCGTATAATAGACTTCGACCATTCTTAATATATATATATATATATAGGTGCACACACATTAAATATTTGAGTGTAATGCATGTAAATATTAAAAAAACAAAACATCTCACTTTTAAGTTGATTCACTTCATCCAACGTCTCGCTCTTGTGTGTTCCTATCTTATAATTAGGGCTGTGAATTTAGCTTGAAAGATTATTAACTGCTAGAAAATTGATTAGAGTTTTGGTTTGGATCGAAATAAATTCGAGCTAATTTTGAGTCGAACGAACTTTCACAAAAAAATAATTAAAAAAAGAAAAAAAATGATGTTTTGAAGTTAAATAAATTAAGCCCCCAATTATAAGAGGTGCTTAACGGCAAGCAAGTAGCTGGCAACAAGAGTAAATGATGTTTTGAAGTTAAATATTTAATAATGATTAATGATAATTATAAGTTTGATTTAATAATAATATTTTTAATAGTTTTAAAAATTTTAAAAGAGATTGAAGTTTTAAAGTTAAATAATTGCCAAAGGAATTCAATATATTTACCGAGAATGAGAAACAATGACGATGTGGAAGAAGGCAGGGATATCTTGGGCTTGAAAATGCGAAAGGATGGGAAGCTGCAGCAGCCACCTTGTCACCTCCCAAAAGAGCTCTTCGGGGTGGTGGGCAACTCAGGACTTATATATTGTTTTTCGGCCCTACACCTAGCCGATATGGAACTTTTTGTCCGTGACATTCTCCTCCACTCAATCGCGTGACACCCTCGTCACGAATCGGCTCCTTTGAGGGTCTCATTGAAAATGCGCTGTTATCTAGTTTTAGCTGTGTCGAAAGGATGGGAAGCTGCAGCAGCCACCTGTCACCTCCCAAAAGAGCTCTTCGGGGTGGTGGGCAACTCATGACTTAAATATTGTTTTTCGGCCCTACACCTAGCCGATATGAGACTTTTTGTCCGTGACATTCTCCTCCACCCAATCGCGTGACGCCCTCGTCATGAATCGGCTCCACTGAGAGTCTCATTGGATCATGGAGAGTCCACACATCTGACAGACAGTAATCTGCTCTAATACCACTTGACACCTCCCAAAAGAGCTCTTCGGGGTGGTGGGCAGCCCTGGACTTACATACTGTTTTCCGGCCCTACACGTAGCCGATGTGGGACTTTTTGTCCGTGACACACCGCTCCGAAAAATCTAGCGGCAAGGATAGAAGCCAAACGCGAAATAGGGCCAACCACATTGATTGATTTGAACAATATAAGGAGAGGGCTTGATAAACAAATAGAAGAATCACTGCACAACAGCTAAACAATATCCAGACCTCATGAATTTAACATATAAAATTTGTAAAAAAATACACCTGGAAGTAACTATGGCCGACTTTGTATCTTACCATACAAGAGGTTATGAATTAAAAGGAGGGGTAAAATGGACAGTTGGAGATGCTTGTATGAATAAATAAATAGAATAAGGGGAAATGATGACAATGTGGAATGCCAAAAATAACATGTCTGTGTTGAGAATTGGACTTTATTAGGGTCCTATTGGTAAAAAGAGAATATTGAAGAAACCTAGGGGTACAAATGAGGTTTTCAAACAACTCTTTCTATATGGTATTAGAGCCCTCACACAAAGAGTCTTCGTTCGGGCTGCTAGATAGTTAGGATCGGCGTGCATTATTGCTGTTGCAGCTTGCCGATTTTCCTCTTCCTTCCACTTTGTCATCACGAAACAGTCGCAATTTGAGCTAACTAGGACGGCAGCGAAGGGATCATAGTGTGAACTCGCGATACAGGTGCCATCGCACTACGCAAGACAGTCATGATTAGAGCTAGCTAGCAAGGCAACCACCGGATTTATGGATGCTCGCGATACAAGCGCCACAGCAGGATGCGCGAAGTAGACGACATGCTCGGGAAGGGCCGAACTGACAATGTCTTGGAAGCTAGATTGCGGTAGAATAATTCAAGCGGCTCAGTGCAGGACATGGTGAAACGAGTGTAAAACTAGAGCAGTGGAGGAGAGAACTTTGGTTCTACGTGCATAAGAGGACGACGAGGTTGGGAATATTTAAATTGAGGATGTCAGGAGATGGAGATAGTGTAGGAAGTAAGAGTTTAAAGCTTCTAGGAAAGATAAATCTTGAATTTCTGAACATCTTGGTCGAGCTCATACAGGGAGCTCGTGTCTTAATATGAGCTGCTACTTCAACATGTGCTCCAACATGGGTGAAACTAGATCTTCCTCCTGTGGATCTGAAACTTGATGGATTGGCCACATATCTGAGTTGGTCACATCGAATTGAGGCTGCTATAGTAAGGAAAAGACTAAAATGATATATGATAGGAGTCGGGCCAAAGATTGACAATGCTGAGAGGAGTGAAGGACCACAATGCTTTGCTTTACACCTAGTTACTCAACTAGATTTTTCCATCAATTGTCTCATCAGTAGATGACATTCTAATGGTGAGCAACAGCTGGGCAAAGCTAAAGAAGATTTATGCTAGAGTTGAAAGCCACGTGAGGATGTTCCAAATTCAACGTGAGATAGAGGCAGTGGTTCAGGGTGATAGATTGATTCAAGAGCACTCCATAGAGCTGGAGCGGTTGTGGACATATCTTGATCACTTCTTACCAATGTTGTGCTATGGCGATCTAGAGTGCAAGAAAGGGGAAATCTTTACACAGATGAAGACTATGCACTTTCTGGCTCATCTGAAACTGACCTTTGATCCGAGGAGATCTGTCATCCTAGCTCAAGTAACTATCCCTTAATTGGATGAGATCATTGCTGTGATGATACATGAGGAGAGTTGCACTACTTTGTAGGCTGTGTTGCGACTCCGTACGATGATTCATTACTTTGTAGCATATGTCGTGACTCTGTGAGGGGATTTGTTACAATAAACATGGAACATCCAATGGTAGTCGACGATAGCCGATGAGCAGTGGTTGAAGGTAATTGACGAGCGGTGGTCGATGGTAGCTGACAGGCAATGTTCGACGATTGCGGGAGCTGGAAGCGTTCACCAGGTATTTAAACTGGATTGACTTCTAAGTCCCCTTTCATGCAGGGTGTATGGCTCTATTATTAGAGTTTGGGAGTGCCTTCCAACTAAATAAGGAGTCTAAATCACTCCATCAGATGAATCAAAGAAATTCCAATGGTCAAATGATATTTTGTGGATATTAAATGCTTTAACAATTTCAGAATTCAGTGATCTTGAGCTCGTTTGACTTGACTTGCCAATATGTTCTATTTGGCTATAAGCTTGTCATATTTGACCTTTAAATTAATGACACAAAGCTTTAAAAAGAGAATTAGTGTGTCAGTGACGTGTCGGCGGCTCACCGTCAGTGCGTCTATGGTGTGTTGGAGGGCCACAGGGTTGTCTCGTCGGAGAGGGTTGGTAGGTCGTGTGGACTTGCGGTTTACACTGACAGAGCGTCGGACCACGATTGGAGTTTAGGTGGCGATCCACAGATGTGGGATCTGACGAACCTCTATGGTGCTTCATATTATGTACAGTGTGTGATCCAACTATTGGGATCCCACTTGGTGATGCCTCAGTTGAAGGGCTCACACGATTGAGCAATTTTTGGCATGGTCACATACGTTTTGCATGAAACTATGTGGGTTGCGTGTTTTCATGAGGACCACTTGCTTCTGCCATCCAATTGCTCCAAATCGGCTCCATCGGATGGCCCAAAAGTATTCCCACGATCGAAAGGTATTTTGTGAACATTTAATTGTCTTAATGATTTTGAAATCTAGTGATCTTGGGCTTGTTAGACACGTATTGTCGAGACTCTTGATTTGATTAGAAGTTTGTCAAATTTGGAATCCTTTTACCTTTGAATTAACCACATAAAGCTTCCAAAAAGTTGTTTGCTGTCTTGGTTCGACTCAGATTGGGACAATTTTGACATCATTGAGTACGTCTCATTATGTCGGTCAATTTGATTATAAGTTTACTGAAATTAAAATTCTGGATTACTTTTAATTTGAGTTGAAATATTTCTTACTAAAAAATACTTTAAAATTTATACTGATTATTTCTAGATTCATGTTAAATAATAAAATTTGTTGATGCCGCATCAGATGCTTTACCTTCTTGTCACACAATTCTTTTGTATGTACATATGTAATACACATATTTTAATGTTTATGTCAATCATATTAAAATATATTTATAAAAATGTTTTTTTTTTTCAACTAAAAAAATTAATATTGATGATATTTTCTGAAATAATTAAAATATTTGAATGATATATATATTGATCTTAAATTTATTTTAATTATAAAAACACATAAGAATTATGATATGTACGTAAATCCCTTAGATGTCTAGACAACTAGCAACCTTCAAAATTAGCTTCTAAATATTCACGTAAAATAAAATATTTAATAATATTATTAATTATAGATATTAATTTTCTCAATTTATTTATTTATTTCGATAAAATGAGCATTTTGAATCGGATATTTTAGAATACTGAACTATATTTTTAAAAAAATATATTACAGGCACAACTTATTCTATTTCTTTTCCTCCAATTTCATCTGAATCTCTATCTTTTCCGACAAGTGCAAGAAACTTCTTTTAACTTTACAAATCAGACTTATACTTCAACTTAAGTTATCTCTAGGAGAAAATATTTTGTTCGGGCAGTGCACGTCCGGACTGAATAACTTTTCCATCTCTAGGGTAACTTTTTCATCAATCGTGGAAGTGATGGCTTCAAATGAAGGGAAGAATGACCGCCAATCACTGACGGTCATATCGTCATACACGGCATCGGCGGGTGACGTGACGATCAGTAGTTATCTGTCTGGACGGAATAACTTTTCCATCTCTAGGGTAACTTTTTCATCAATCGTGGAAGTGATGGCTTCAAATGAAGGGAAGAATGTGACATTGAAGAGCTCGGATGGTGAAGAGTTCTTGATAGAAGAAGTTGTGGCAATAGAATCTCAGACGATCCGCCACATCACTGAGAAGGGATGAGCGGATAACACGATCCCGCTCTTTCAAGTGAAAGGTGAGATTCTTTCCATGGTTATTGAGTATTGCAGGAAAGACATCGAGTTGGGTGCGAAGTCTTCTGTGGCCAACTCCAGCAGTCGGAGGGCTTCATATTTCACTCGTGTTTTAGATAATATATTGAATCAATGACTTTAAAAAATAATATTTTCAATTAACAAGGGTCACATATTCCTTAAAAAAATATTTAAGAAATCAAATCGTTATATTTACACAAAGAAAATCAAATTCTTAGTATCGAATAAAAAATATTTTATTATTTATCAAAAAAAAATATTATTTTATTAGTTTTAATAAAAAGTGGAATAAATCCCTAAAAATATAGGCTTAAAATTCAAAATTGTCTTTGATGTAAATATTAAAATTGAAATGTGAGTTTATGTAAATACCCAATAATTGTGGGCGAAGCATGTAATTTTTTCTAAAAAAAATAATATTATTCATTATAAATTCCGGCCAACCGATCTTCCTAGGGTTCTTTGGTGGAGACCTACAATCTTTCCAAGTTTTTTGATCGATCGCGGTGGTGATGGCTTCGGATGAAGGGAAGAAGGTGACATTGAAAAGCTCGGACGGTGAAGAGTTCTTGGTAGAAGAAGCTGTGGCGATGGAATCTCAGACAATCCGTCACATGATTGAGGATGGATGCGCGGATAACGGGATCCCGCTCCCTAACGTGAACAGTAAGATTCTTTCTAAGGTGATTGAGTATTGCAAGAAACACGTCGCCTCGGCCCAAGTCTTCGGGGCCGGCCGCCGGCGATGAGAAAACTGCGGAAGAAGATCTCAAGGGCTGGGACTCCGATTTTGTGAAGGTTGATCAGGCTACGCTTTTCGATCTTATTCTGGTATGCATGTTTTGTCTTTGTTTTAATTTTTATTTCGGATGACCTTATTGTGTTAGTGATACATGATTGCTATTGGCGATTGTTTGCATGATTGATTTGTTTTTTTGTTTAGAGTTTTATATATTTGATAGACATCTACTATGGAAGGATTTAGGGAAGAAAACGGTAATTCGTGTTTTCTGGCTTTCTGGGTGTTAATATTCTCATAGATTGGGCTATGAATGCTTGTTAGGGTTTCCTATTTAAAGGCTATATGAAATTTGATTTGTTTAATAAAATATAGTTTGTGGTTATTTTTTGTAATTTTTTCTATATCATTACCTGTCAAGTGGATTAGGGTGTTCTATTAAAGCCTTAATCAGTGTGGATCAAGATGATGTGGCTGCATGGTCGAAGATTATCATGTTTCTGATGTCATAATCATTGTTGTGGGCCTTATCCGAGGGTTGTCTTAAATGAATCTGAATCTACTTTAATTATTTAATTCTACGCAAATTGTTGATTTTATTATGTAAAATTTTTTGGATAATTTCTAGCCAAGATACCTTTGTTGTCTTTTGTATCCTTCACATCAACTTTATCAACTTGATTAGTTGGACATTTTCTACTTTTTGTTGTGCATACCCCATGCCCGGGATTTATCAAATCTGTATTTACTAAATCTTATAAATTCGAATCTATAATATCCTAATGGTTGTTACATTTAAAAGTTTTTTTGGATTTAAAAGTTTTTTTGGATCCTAAGTTTTTTTGGATCCTAATATGTTTAATCCAAGTTAAATTCTAAAAGTAGTTTCTTTGCAAGTAAGAGAGTACTAGTCAATTTAAGGGATGTAGATTAGATTTGTGTTGTGATTTGGTTCGCCCAAGAAATTATAATAGTAACATAGTTTTAGGCTGCTAGTATTTAGTTAATTGAATCAATTTGGAAATTATTACTTAGACAACTCTTGGATATTTCTCTTACATGATAGTTATTTAAATGGAGATTTTTCAATTACAAGATAGGAGATGAATCATACTTACCACTTTGACAAGCTTGGACTATATGCATTGGCTGTTATCAAGGTGAGATTGAGCAAATCTTGTTGGTGAAAAAAATCCACATTCGCGGTGTAATTTGCTTCAATGTAGAGACCCATTTCATATGTGCAATGAACCAAAATGCACATGACTTGAACTGTATTTGCATGGTATGTTTGAGTCTCTTATGAATCTTATTTACTGCCAGTTTTTCCATTATGATAGCAGTGTAAATCTATCAATTTTAGTATGTGCATCATGCATATGATCATCTAATTTCATGCACAATGTGGTTGAAAGCCTGTGGTATGATATAGTTAACTATGATATAATTGGATTGATCATGCTACACACAGTTGCACTTTTTAGAGTGTCATTTGATGTTTGTGAATGGTTTTCACTGGTTTGCTCCTAATTTTACGTAGTATCGTATGCTTCTTTTTCATATTTTTAGTAATATTGTATCGAGAAATGCATTTTGTATGTGTTGGCTTATTATATCAATATTCTTTTGTTTATTTAATCTATTAATTTGCATGCTAAATGTGTGATGAATGTTCTTACATATTATATTATGCCCACTGTTCATTATATTAGCGCAATTGTTCTTTTTACACCTTTTGGTTCATATTATGTATTTTTTCATCAAATTTTACTCAACTTATGGAAGCAATGGCAATGTTAACTATATTGGATGAGTATTATAACATGTATGCATGTACTAGATGTTGGCCCAGTCTATATTTCTCTGCTTAGAGGACGTGCTAATAAATTTTAAATATTTAGGGGCTGTTGATGTTCCTATGGGAGGTACAAGATTGGGTTGCTCCTTATATTGGCCAATGGGCTTGAGGTCATAACATGTATGCATTACTAGAATGTTAGTTGTTATTTTGGCTCAGTCCATATTTCTCTGCTTAGAGGATGCACTAATAAATTTTAAATACTTAGGGGCTGTTGATGATCCTGTGGGAGGTACAAGCTTGGGTTGCTTCTTATATTAGCTAGCGGTCTTGAGGTCATGACCTTGATATATTTTTTCTCATCTGAGATATTTCTGCAAAATAGTTGGACACTTTAATACATTATGATGGAACTTCAATTATCTGTATGGTCATCTAGTCATGAAAAAAATATTACCTGCATGAATAGTAAATGATTGGGTAATCATTTCTACCATTCTACTTTTTGTGTTTTTCGTTATATGTATGTATGTATTGTTTTTCTAACTATATTTTATGATATGCACAATCTATTTTGTTAATTTTATATTACCATACTTAGGATATTTATATGTTTGTATGTATATACGGCTATCTTATAAATGTTGTTGATTTAATTTTTTTCCTATGCTTACACACCTTATGTCTTATACTCTACTGAAAGAACCATTCCCTGTGGATGATGCATTCTGTTCTGAGCTAGACATAGTCTAAGGGTACCTACATTTTTTATATTTGCATATGATGATGTGCATCTATTTTGGAATTGAAGTTGTAGCTCTTCATAATCAACTATATGATTACTTTATTGGTGTGATTAATTCGTACTAATGATTGCAACTTAACCGAATTGTTGAGTCTCAATATCTTATAAATTTTTTAGCCGTAATCTGATCGAAATCTGAACTAATGTGTTGACACTGTTTTTTGTATTTAGCTGTTGAACTGACTTCTGACCTCAATTCTATAACTATAACTACATCAAAGTAATTTTGCACAATCTTGCTTACCTACGGTATTGTTAATTTGGTCTAATTGTTTAATACAACTTCTCGTGCATTTGACTTCGTACAGAATTCCAACCCCAATTTTATAACCATAGGTAAGACTAATCGTGCACTATTTCATTCACCTTTTGACATGTTGCTAAGTTCATTAGCATGTTAGTTATCTTTTGCACGTTATGTGATGGACATAAATTGGCTTACATGACTATCTGTATATATTAATTCTTGTCTTGTATTGCATTCTTTCATATTTTTCATGTGATCTGCTTGGCCTTTTGCCCATTCTATTGTACCTGCTTATGTTTGTTTAGGGAAGGGATAAGGATATTTAGATGGGTGATCAGTCTCACTGAGCAAGTATTTATAATTTGTATCACATCGATATGTGTCTTTGCACAATGTGTTTATGTATATGTTACGGATGATGTAAATATGGGATTCTGGTTGTGGACTTTGTCTTAGGATAGGTTGTTATTTTAGAAGGATATGGATAACTTGGCTAAGTAGCATTGTTTTGATGATTTGTATCAATTCTTTTGTATTGTAGACATTACAATCATGTGAATGATAGCCTTTACTATTACATATCCTTATATTGTTGTTAATTTATTGGATCAATGTTGTGCTAAGTCGAAACTGTGAAATGGGTAAATCCATTTTCCTTTTTGATCCTGGGTTTTTGAGTATGACTAATCAATACAAACAATGAAAGTTGTTATATTGAGGGAATGAAATCGAGGTTCTCCTCTTATTGTAATTTCTTCTTCATGCTTCATTGCTTTTGTCATGACATTTTTGCTCCCTTACGGTTCTTACGGTTCTTAATTTATTAATTTATGTGATGTTTATAGGCAGCCAACTATCTGAACATCAAAGGCCTGCTTGATTTGACCTGCCAAACTGTGGCAGATATGATTAAGGGGAAAACTCCCGAAGAGATTCGCAAGACCTTTAACATCAAGAATGACTTCACACCGGAGGAAGAGGAGGAGATTCGGAGGGAGAACCAGTGGGCATTTGAGTGAATTGGTGCTACTCTCTCTCTTTCTCTCTTTCTCTCTCTATTTTGGACGAGTCTTGTGTCTTCTTAATACTTTAACGTGCTGGTGGTTGTCTTTTCTCTGTTGCATGTTGGGTAAGAATGATGAAACAGCAGAAGATCCGTCTATCGAAACTCTTTCACTTCAACTTAATGCTATCATCATCTTCTCTTGTTGTGTGCATATTATCGATTCTATTGTTGCTCGTAATCTAGCTCAGGTTTATGCAAAGATGCGCACTGTTTCTGCTGCTAGTTACTAACTAGTCATTGTGGCTTAATTGCTGGTGGGTTGTTCCTCTATGTGACGCCTGTTGATTTTGAAGAGAAATTAGGCCGGGATAAGATTCTGGTTTTCTTAGATTTGGTTTTGAGATAAATGTAATATACAAATAATTAATCAGTTTTTATATTACATTTATTTTAGAAGAAATTTTAATAATTAAAAAATCAAATGATTCTAAAATTCATCCTGCTGTGATTGTTGCTTTTGAGATTCTGCCGTGCATAGGGCTGTCAAAACGGCTCGTTGTTCACGAACAGCTCGTATTCGGCTCGTTAGAAGCTCGTGTTCGGCTTGTTCGCTAAGTTAACGAGCCGAACACAAACAACATAAAGCAATATTTGTTCGTTCGTGTTCGGTTCGTTTTGGCTCGAAATACTACTAACAATTATATATATATATTTTTGATGAGTAGTCTTTTTTAAAAATTCAGTTGACTACAGGGCTACAAAGATTTATAATCATTAAAAGTATTAATAAAATAATAGAATAAAGATTATTAAATTAGATTCAAATGATGTTTTAAGTCTTGCCCCAATCTTTAACATCTAATGATTACGTGATTAGGGCTGTCAAAATGACTTTTGTTCATGAACGGATCGTGTTTGTCTCGTTAAGCAAACGAGCTGAACACGAACACACTTTTTGAGCTTGAAATATAAACGAGCCGAAAATGAGTTGAGCCTAGGCTCGCTCATGTTCGCCTTATTTACACCCCTAGCTGTGCAGCTGGTGGTGACCAACCATGGAAGCTCCTTTCATCTCATTTTTGTGATATTAAGAAAACAAGATAAGTATCTTTTCTTGGGTTCAATATTGACATAAGTTTTGCATACAGACACTTCATTAAGAATATTTTAAAGATTTTATCATATTTTGCCCTTTTTTATAAATGAGGTGAAGTATGCCCCTCCTTGTTGCTACCCATTAATAGGGATGTTCTATCCTGCACTTTTGAGGAATTTCACCCTATTACAAACTTTTAATAGTAAGTTTGATGAAATTTATATTTTAACTTTTGAGAGTTATGTTTTAGCCCCATGCAATCCTTTAACTTGTTAAGATGATAGAAAAAGGTTTACATTGCATTAAGATTAGCTTTAGCCATGAGTAAAAGAACATTTACAAAAAGTCGTGTAATAAAGACATAACTGTTTGTAATAGGGTGAAACTACCCCGCATAAGCTTGGGGCATTCGGGTAGTGGAAATGTTATTCTATGTAAACTTTGTAACTCTAAGTGGAAAAGTTGCCTCCTCACTTTCTTCAAATGTGATTATTCACAAACAACTCCCTCAAAGTGCTGGATAGAACATACCCATTAATAGTAAGTTGGTAACAAGTAGTTTGTATTACAGCATTTGGCATAGTCTCTTGGTATTTGGATTTTAGATTGTACCTTTTGTTGAAGAAAATTGAGAACTGTTTGTCTTGATAGAATTAAGAAATTTTTGTCATTTGAATGTATATTTTAATGATTATATCATCTATAAATGGCTATGTCCTATTGTATATGCTCTATCTCTATTTCGATGGGTTTGTATGGGATTATTTTTAATTTAATTTTATTTTTAAAAACATATTTTTAATATGCTTTTATTAGGTTTACTATTTTTTATTTTTAAAAGTAAATAAACATGTTTTTGAAAATATTCGAAACAATTTTTACATGATTTGAATGTTTTCAAAAATAATTATATGTTAATCAAACATACTAAATATTTTATTTTAAATCAAAACATAAAAAAAGAAAAAAGAAAAAAGTGAGAGTGATCCTAAATGTATCATCTAAAAGATCAATTCATTGACATCAAAATTTCTGTATGATGAGGGGACCTTCAAAAATATCCACACTACATCCCAGCATAAATCCACCCTTTATCGGGAAAAAAAGGATGTTATATTCATCCTGAACAAAACTTACAAGATGAAAGCTATTTTGTCTTACCTCTCGAGTCTTAAAACAAGTACAATATTTTATCAAATTGTTGCTTCCTCTCTTATGATTTTATTTGGTACTTCGCTAGCATGAGAATGTCAGATTTTTAGAAGGAATTGAAGATGTCAGCTTCTAGCATGAAAAATAATATAGTTATAGAGCTACTTTTAGAAACAAGTTCTTTTGTGTCTTGTGGTTGGCAAATAGATCTCTATGACATTGGATGGGGAGCACTTACCATGACTTTTCTCACAAATTGCTTATTTTAAGATAATTAACAATTTTTTTGGAAATTGGAACTCCTTTAATCTCAACACACTCCTAGTTTGGATTGTTACAATGGTTTACCATTTATCTCTTTAAACAAGAAGATAGGCAAAATCCTTTGAGAGAATGAAGGAGAGTTTTGACACTTTCAAAGCTCAGCAGCTTCTCTTTTCGAACTTCTCAATTATGTGCTGAATTTGTTATATTTGGTTCAAAGGAAACACTCTTAATTTTGCACTTTTTTTTTCTTAATTGCCCATATTGTGGTCTTAAAGTTTCCTAATAAGCTTGGGGCATTCGGGTAGTGGAAATGTTATTCTATGTAAACTCTAAGTGGAAAAGTTGCTTCCTCACTTTCTTCAAATATCATTATTCGGTATCTCTCATAGTAGACTTTCTTTTGGAGGACTACTTCCAGCTCCCCTAAGCTTGCACGGGGTGCTCCATGTTCATTTTGAAACTCATATTATTGCCAAGGCGCCCTACTAATTTGTCGCGTCTGTGTTAGTGTCTGTGTTAGTTTCTTATATTTAGTAGAAGAAAAAGTACATACTCTTAAGTAATATTAATATTAGGGTGTTTAGTATGCAAATGAAAAATAAACTCCTTATGACCCATAAATTAAGAGGATGGAAATTCAAGAAAACTTGGTTGACTAAGTTAAATGCTTGATTTTGATTTTGTCTTGATTGTTTATAATACTTGCTGTGCCCCTATTAATTTTTTGGCAATCTCTTGAATGCTTTGTGATGCATATTTCTTTTCTCAAATATTATAACAAATTTATATGGGGTTTGTTTGAAATTTTTGTGACTTTTGGCAAACTTTTTGTAATTTATGAAATTTTGTTTTGGCTAACTTTTGGTGTTTTTGTGATGATGAAAATATTGATATATTCAAAAAGTTGAGGATCGCACTTAACTTTATTCAACAAAAATAAAGTACAAAGACCAACAAAACTTACAACAACACCACACAACTAACTTAAAGGAGGAAAACCCAACATGAAACAAAGAATATAAACTCAACACCTCAACTCAAAATAGACAACAAGAACAGTAAAAAAAACCAAAAATACAATCCATAAAATAGCCTCTAGACAATCAACAACATAGCCCCGAGAGAAGAAGAAAAGAAATGAAGCAAGAGACAAGTGGTTCTAGCTTAATTAATTAGATAATGTCCTCCATAAATGCACCAAAATCAACTTCTCCAAATAGTCGTTTACACTTTCATCTGCAAAATAAAAGAAGAAACATAAAACATGAAACATGACAAAAGAAAGAGCCAAAGAATCCAAATCACAACTATATCCAAATGAAGAAGTCAAGAAAATGATGTCAGAATAATTTACCTGTAAAACACATTAAAATTTCATTTATGTAATGTGAAAATCAAAGATTTTCAAATGTACGATTGAATTTTAAGAAATTATTGGAATTTATCATGGCTCCACCCAACTCAAACTTTTAAGAAAAAAAATCAAACATACTTCTGTTTGGATCACTAAAACGTTTAAGAATAAACTCAACTATGCATATGTTCTAATTGGCCAAAAAGATAGAGACTAAGAAATAAAATAAATATGTAAAATGAGGGCAACCAGTCGAAAAAGAAAAATAGAAAGAAGCTAATGACCTAGAGAAGAAACAGAACAAGAGGTTAAGAGTTTAGAATAGAATATGTAATGGAATAATCAGCCCAAAAGAAGAAACAAAAAACAACTGACAAGAGAAGTAGCTAAAGACTCCATTAAAAATATTGTATATATAAAGATATATACATAAATGGTTGAGTCTAAAGAGAAAAAAATATAAAAAAATAACCAGAATTAAAATAAAGAAACTAAACAAACTAAAAGAAAAACAACCAACAAAAAGAAGAAACCGGAATAAAGGTATCAATCAAAGAAACAACATAAGAAACAGAAGACTTCTACCAAAATGTATATATTAAGATTACAAAATTAGAATATATATAAAAAAAATGAACAAATGAGAAACATAAATTTAAAAAAAAGAAAAAAAAATGAATTAAAGCGTATAAATAATTTTTATTGAGGGAATTTATTTTTTGAATTTTTACCTTCTACCATTCTGCTTAATGATCCAATGGATGTTTTGAATCAACATTTCAATATGACTGGAATTATTTTTAAAAATTTTGCAATTTCTTTTACACCAAATACAGTAGACCATAACATGAACAACTAAGAGAAGGAATCGTTTAGCGATCTTACAATTAATATTGTCAAAGTACTAAATAATTTGATAAATATTACTAGGGACTAAAAAAAAAGTCCTAGGGAAAACAACCTTTTAAAAGAGAATGTGAATAAGGACACTAAAAAATAAATGATTATGAAATTCTGAAACATTTAAAGAGAGCTTGCAATAAATATCAATAGTAATGCTAGAGGTTTTGATCCCATTATGTGTGGTCTTTCACATATGAATGACAAATTTAAAAGCATAGCTCTTATGCCAAATCAATTTATACCAATCTTTATGAGAAATATGCTCATGAAGAAAATAATAAATATATTTATCAGAATAAGATTTTAAATCATTCCAAAAGCAGGTGTTACCATTTTAATGGGAATAACATGAATAGAGCCATTGCATTGAGAAGAGGCCATCAAATTAGCAGAAATGATCAAATTATCATTAAAGATGACATCACAAAGTTTGGTGTCT